CACCGTTTATTGAGAAGTGAGGCTCTTTATCTAACCTTCTTACCTGCGTTCTCCAGCAGTGTTCTCTCCATCCGCGGGAGTGGCGGCCGAATCCGGTTACGGGACCGCGGTTACACGAGTGTAACCTCATGCACAATTCTAACAGCAGGCGTCGGCATCTCCCAGAGCCTGAGCGGCCTTGCCCATGGAACAGCGCGCTGCTGAGCGGTTGGCGTATAATATGTGCTGGCTCTGCAGTGGCTTAGTGTGCTCGTTTTCGCGGTTGGTTTAGGAGGCTCAAAGATCTGATCAAGCTGTCTTGTCGCGCGAAGACAGATACTTAGCTTTAATGTTGCGTGAGCGACTTGGAGAAATAGTTTGTGGCAGGTTACAATACAGTATCATCGCATAAAAGTTTAGCAAGGTAGCTTGTCTTCATCTCTTGTGGATGGGTCAACCAACGTGCATCATTTTATTATTTGTGCAAAGGAAGGTCTTAAAGAAGACTGTTTTAGCTAAGCACTCAAACGATACAAAACGGTTATGACAGGGTATACGAAATCGCCGGATTGTCATCGCCGGATGGACTCTGGATAAATCCAGAGAATTCATCATTCCAAAATGGCATGAAAACTGCCTCCACAAAAAAACGATACTATGCGTTGCCATAAATTATTACTTGGATTCACTAAAGCATAGTAAGCATCTGATGCTCTGGCACCATCGCCACATCTTGAAAGACTGTCGCCGAGGCGACGCGCAGGCAGTTGGGCCGCTCTTGGCAATTACAGGAACAACAGCAAGCTGCAATCGTAGTAGATCGAGATCAAGCTCAGCCATGGCAGACGTCGCGTTCCTGCCGCCGCAGGACATCCACCCCAACAACGCCGTGTTCGCTGCTCGCAGTCTGCCTCGCCCACTCACGTGGCAACGGCGCGAGCACATGACGCACCGCTGTACGATCCTCACGCGTATTGGACAACTGCTGGTGCGCAACGCACGAGTCGTGCTTAGTCAGCAAGGGAACGCCGTCACAGGTGGCACAGACCTTAGCAAGACTTGGGTGCTGGCTCGTAAGCTGGAGGTGCTCATGTTCATCCACTCGGCGTCGCTTCTTGAATACGCTAACATGGACAGTTTGGCACGTCGCGTACAGGCGCTAACGGCCGGTATTGTGAACAAGAAGATCCGTCGAGCCACGAAT